ACGGGGACAAAAAAAAAAAAGATTCACCAAATAAAGCTTAGCAGAACGCCAGTGAGCTTCTGGAAAGTATAGGCTCCAAGCTTTTAATTTCTCTTCGTAGGAGAGAGTCCTGATACAGAAGATTAATTTTAATATCCATCTTTGCATATTTTCCACTGTATGTCAATATGCATTATTTAATTTGAAAAAGAGAATAGTGCCACATTTTGTAAGTAAACTTTTATTATTGTTAAAGTTGTGTAACAATCGGCCTATTAACCTTATTACGAACTATTGCCTACTGTAGTCATGGCTTTATTAACGATCACTGCTAAACACGACTACCAACAATACTTCACATCAAGCATGATCACCGTGACTGGAACAATGAACAAATAACCCGCACATAGGTGAATGAAACTTGACGATGTCTTTGTCCTACTGGTATCATAAACTAGTCGCTGGGTGACTAGTTAATGGTCCAAGTCGGACCGAAACGTCGTCATTAGTTTCTTAATCCTATGTGCGGATTATTTGTATATATTACCGAAGATTACGTCACTGCGCTTCATGAGTGAACAAAATCTCCAGACGTTACTTGTAATGCGAGGTAAAAGCAGCAGTCAACAAGGTCAGTCCTTACTACCTTGAGAAGGTGGAGTGATTCTCCATGGAGGAGTGATTGAGGTAAACTCTTGGGAGGTTCTTGTACCATGGATGAGTGGTTGAGGTAAACTCTTGAGAGGTTTTTGTACCTACGGAAAGACTGCAGAACTTTCATCCTGTATATAAAGTCACGTGTAGCATCGCAATATACCGAGTGTATTTGAAATTAATAGATAAGAATGCCGTATATTTTACAATAACGTAGGTCTCACTGACAGATATAATGTTCATATTCTATATTAATAGTCGCTGTTCTTATTTTTTAATTCATTTTATAAAAAACACTGAAAGTACATCTGCGTTTTCATGCTGAATCAACTTTTAATTTCACGACATCAAGGATATGAATAAATGTTAAAATTACTGTACATCTATTTCCTTTCATAATTTGCTCTCTGCCAAATTAATTTTGAATACTGAAATTAACATTCAACGATTTTTTTCGTATGACATGGTTGAGGTGGGACCCTGGGAGTGGAGCCAACTACACGAGGTCGTACAGTGAGGTGCAGCAAGGCATCGTGGAGAGTCTCCAGAACAAGACTCTCATGGTTACCAGCATCCTCGTAAGTCTTAGCTAATCTGGTGGTCTCCAGTCATACCGTAAATATGTCTTGAAATTTGTAGTGTAGGTTATTCCAATAGTTTAACCCAGTGGTTACTCTCTTTCCCTCTCTTTCTCTCTCTTCCCTCTCTCTTTCCCTCTCTCTTTCCCTCTCTCTTTCCCTCTCTTCCTTCTCTTTCCCTCTCTCCCTCTCTTTCTCCCTCTCTCTTCTCTCTCCCTTCTTTTCCCTCTTCCCCCTCCCTTCTTTTTTCCTCTCCATCCCTCTTTTTCCCTATCCCTCTCTTTCCCTCTCCTTCCCTCTTTTTCTCTCTCATTTTACACAGGGTTTTACAAGGTTAGGTTAAGGGTTTCAAACTTTTTTACATGCTTGGAGCAGTTACCTACTTCATCTAATTTCAGGTTTCTTTCTCTCTCTCTCTCTCTCTTCTCTCTCTTACTAATATATATATATATATATATATATATATATATATATATATATATATATATATATATATATATATATATATATATATATATATTATTATAGATATTAGAACTTTTATTAACTTTAAATGCATGTCTTCCAATTATGCTCACTTTTTCACTTTTGGTTTTGTTATGTGTATTTAAATCATTCATTGTCAGCAGTCATTCTTAAGACTTATCTAGGCTGATGCGTCTGCATCTCTTCGTAAATCATCAACACAGCTGTTCTCTGTCACTTCTCTGCCTCATTACATGTGTTGTCTCGTGAGGTTTCTGAAATGTCAGATATTGTCTGCACCTGGTTCCTGATTTGCTATGAGGTTTTGTTGCTATTGAGCGTTAGGCTCGGTCTGTCCTTTAATCATGAGATATTATGTTCTTCCTGAACGTGAGGTTTTGTATATCCACTGAACGTGAGGTACTGTGCCTTTTCCTGAACGTGAGGTACTGTGCCTTTTCCTTGAACGTGAGGTACGGTACATCGACTGATCGTGAGGTGTTGCGTATCCCTTGTATACACCCTGAGCTTTTGGTGTTGTAAAGTTCCTGAGCGTTAGGTATTGTACATTGCATGAGGCTTTTCTCTCTGAACATGAATTCTTGCATACTCCGTATGCCAGAGGTTTGGTCTGTCACTTAGCATATTTTGTCTACCCCAAGAGACTGAGGTTTAGCCAACCCTTTGATCGTGAGGTGTGTCCTCCTCCCAGGCTGCACCTTACAACATGCTGAGGGAAACGTCAGTGCAGATGACTGGCAACGACCGCTACGAGGGCTTCTGTGTAGACCTCATCCAAGAGATCTCTGAAGTGTTGGGCTTCAACTACACCATCAGGATCGCTGCCGATGGCTCTCATGGCAAGTATGACGATAAGAAGAAACGATGGAACGGCATGATTGGAGAACTCTTAGATCAGGTGAGTTATATATTTTGAACACACACACACAATTGTCCTCAAAGATTTGTTAAGTTACACCATGAATTAAGGAAAGATCCTAGACTTCAACTTACGAAAGCAGACAAAGGAAATACGATAATAAATATGGACGAGGTAGTTACTAGGGGAAAATTAGGATAATATTAGAGACATGGGAACGACCGCACCCTTAACCTCTCCTGAGCCTTGAAGTGTTGTGTGTACATTATACTGTGACACCACAGATCGTAACGATGCTTCATGAAAAGTTTTCTGATAGACAGAAACGATGGACTGGCATGATTGGAGACTCTTAGATCAGGTGAGTATATTGACGACACAAACAATTGTCTCAAGATTTGTTATTACACCATGATTAAGGAAAGACCTGATGTAACTTCGAAAGCAGATCTTAAGGAATACGATAAATATGCGAGGTAGATTATGGAAACATTATTTATTAGAAGCAGGGGACTGACGTACCCTTAATTCCTGACTTGAAGTAATGTGGATGTAATAGTTACTGAAAATAAACCATTGGAATTTTTCCGATGACAACTGACTGGCCATAGTACTCGATACCATCACGTATGAGAGAACATGGTGGAGTACTATCACCATCCTTGGATGAACCTGGGTGAGTACTCGATAACCATGTCTTGGATGAACCTGGGTGAGTACTCGATAACCATATCTTGGATGAACCTGGGTGAGTACTCGATAACCATGTCTTGTATGAACCTGGGTGAGTACTCGATAACCATATCTTGGATGAAAGTGGGTTAGTATTCAACAACCATGTCTTTGATGAACCTGGGTTAGTACTCGACAATTATGTCTTGCATGAAATTGGGTGTGTACTTAACAACTATGTCTTGGATGAACCAGTGTAAGTATTCTATTATTATTATTATTATTATTATTATTATTATTATTATTATTATTATTATTAGTATTATTATTATTAATCCTCGAAGGGTTACTTTTAAGATATTGCCATATTTTTTTTTCTTTCATTTTCTTTTTCTCCATCTTATTTCGCTAGTTTCACTCATAACTCAAGGAGCTCTCAACAGCTTCAGATATTCAACGATTGTGTACGGTAACGAGGACCAAATTCTTGGAACAACTGACATGTTCCCTCGCCCCATGAACAAGGTTATAGGACCTATTCCCAGCAACATGGAATCTCTGGGATAGCTTCCAAAACCCTCAGTGGCGTTGTTTCGAACGTTCAAAACAGATGCCTCAAAATTCGACGACGGGAGTGAGTGAAATTCAAATGTGCAAGCCTCATACACACTTGGATAAACCCCATACACACCTGTGTACACCTCAAACACAACACTGTATACTCACATACACACACACCTGTGTATTATGTATACACAATAGACACCTGTGAAAACTTCATGCACACCTGTGTATACTGTGTATGAGGTATACACATACACACCTGTGTATAGCTCATATACACTTTTGCATTCTTCATAAACACCTGTGTATACTTCAAACACACTTGTGTATGCTTCATACACACTTGTGTATGCTTCATACACACTTGTGTATGCTTCATACACACTTGTGTATGCTTCATAACCTGTGTATGTCATCACACTGTTATGCTCATACCATGGATGCTTCATACACACCTGTATATGCTTCATACACACCTGTATACTTCATACACACCTGTGTATATACATACACACCTATGTATACCTTACATCCGTGTATCCCTCGTACACACCTGTGTATATCTCATATACACTTATGTATACTTCATATATATATGTATACTTCATAAACACTTGTGTATATCTCATACACACCTGAGTATATCGCATACACACCTGCGTATATTTCATAAATGTGAACACCACATAAACACTTGTTTGTACCTCATACACACCTATGTATAAGGCATACACAGGTGTGTATACCTCATGCACACTTGCCTATGCCTCCCACACACGTGTATGCCTCATACACACACCTGTGTATGCCTCATACACACCTGCTCAGTATTCCTACTTACCTGCTTCTCGCGCCAGCAAATCCGATCAAGATTCCATTTGCAGTTTCCTTAATAAGACGATCAATCAGGCTGCCAATATATACACTTTGAAGATACATTCTGAAGACACACTACCAAGATACATTCTGAAGACACACTACCAAGATACATTCTGAAGACACACTACCAAGATACATTCTATCAAAATATACACGGTTAAGATATAGTCTGGTAAGATACAATCTGTCACGTTGCATTCTGTCAAAATACACTGTCAACACACACTGTCAACACACACTGTCAACACACACTGTCAACACACACGATCAGCATACACTGTCAATACAAGCTGTCAACACACACACACACACACACATATATATATATAGCTTTAAGACGAGGTATGACAAAGCTCAGGGAGCAGAGAGAGGACCTAGTAGCGATCAGTGAAGAGGCGGGGCCAGGAGCTGAGTCTCGACCCCTGCAACCACAATTAGTTGAGTGCAATTAGGTGAGTACACACTGTCAACACACACTATCAACATACACTGTCACAACTCACTGTCAACATACCCTATCAACACAAGCTGTCAACACACAGTCAACATGTGCTGTCAACACAAGCTGTAATCTCATACACTGTCAACATATACTGTCAACACAAGCTGTCAACACAAGCTGTCAACACACACAGTGTCAACATATAGTGTCAACACAAGCTGTCAACACACACACTGTCAACATACCCTGTCAACACAAGCTGTCAACACACACAGTCAACATATACTGTCAACAAAGCTGTCAACACCCCACTGTCACATATACTGTCAACACACCACACAACACACACACACACACACACACACTTCACACACACACAACAACACACAACACACATGTCACAACACAAGTCAAATACATAAGTAGGTACAAACTGTCAATATATACTCTGTATAGATACATTCTGTTATCATGCACTATCATCATACACTGTGAACATACACTCGGTACAGGTGCACTCTCTTAAGACACAGTGTGAAGGCAACAAACAGTGGAGAGGCGGGGGCCAGGAGCTGTGACTCGATCCCTTCAACCACAACTAGGCGAGTACACACACGAGGTATAGCACAATTTAACTAGGACATTGTTTCGCTCTGTGTAGAGCGCTAATCAAGTTTCGTTACTCTACACGGAGCGAAACGTTGTCCAGTAAACATGTGCAGCCTCTTGGTTTTCCTCACTCGTGTAGTTAAATCATCTGGACCTACAATGCGTCAATATCTGTACGTTCCTAGCCATGACAAATTTTATAACGGTGTTACATAGCTCGGTTGCAAGTGCACTTAGCTCACACATTGAGGTCAGTGGTTCGATCCCCGGTACAGGTGGAAACATTAGGAATGTCCCTGTTCACCTAGCCGACTGGTGTGGGTCGCATCCTGAGACATCAATAACCTAGTTTGCCCGAAATGCTCTGCATAACAAGGGGCTTTCTATATAGTATTTCATTGAAATCAGCTATGGTCTGTAACATGTACTTGTAGAAATAAAGATTATTGTTATTAGTAGTTGTAGTAATAGTAGTAGTAGTATTAGCAGTAGTAGTAGTAGTAGTATAGTAGTAGTAGTATAAAAGCTCTTTGATTAACTTAACCTAAATTAACTTACGCACGTATTGTGGTTAACCTCCATTTACGCAATAAATTACGTCTAACAAGGGAGAGAGAAACGTTGCTGAATAAAGCGTCGGTAACCCAACGCTCTGTGTTAAAGGTTGGAGGCCAAGATGCGCTAGACGTTTTGGTGCAAGGCAGTCAGCAGCAAGGCAGGCTCTTCTGCGAATTCTAAACATTGTAAAAATCTCGCGTCGGCCAGTGTATGCAGGGGATGAGATGAAATAGCTAACGCCACCTGCCTGAATGCTGGCTGCCTTGGATCAAAACATCTACCGTTGGCTGGGTGGTTAGAGCACTGCATACCTTGTCCCAAGGTTCGTAGGTTCGAGTCTCCTTCAGCCGGAGATTAGTGTTTGTAAATATTTCGCCTGTTCTGTGAATTCTAAACATACATACATAAATATATATATATATATATATATATATATAATATATATATATATTATATATATATATATATATATATATATATATATGTCGTGCCGAATAGCAGAACTTGCGATCTTGGCTTAAATAGCAACGTTCAATTCTTGCCATATACGACAAGCGAAAATTTGTGTATGCAATAATTTCGCCAAAATCATTCTGAACCTAACGAAAAAAATATATTTCACTGTGTTTGTTTAGTTTTAAATTAATATTTAAACAAATCTAAAATAAATTTAGTTGGTTAGGCTAAAATAAATTGTTCTTGTTATAATAAGGTTAGGTAAGTTTTCTGAGATTCTTCTGGTGCAAAATAAAATTTTTTACATTAACATTAATGAAAAAATATATCTTTAAACGTATAGGAGAAAATTTTAGAAAGGACTTAATTTTAAATGAGTTCTTGCTAATTGACCAGTTTTACATATTCGGCACGACATATATATATATATATATATAATATATATATATTATATATATATATATATATATATATATATATAATATAATGTCGTGCCGAATATGTAAAACTGGTCAATTAGCAAGAACTCATTTAAAATTAAGTCCTTTCTAAAATTTTCTCCTATACGTTTAAAGATATATTTTTTCATTAATGTTAATGTAAAAAATTTTTATTTTGCACCAGAAGAATCTTAGAAAACTTACCTAACCTTATTATAACAAGAACAATTTATTTTAGCCTAACCCAACTAAATTTATTTTAGATTTGTTTACAATAATTTAAAACTAAACAAACACAGTGAAATATATTTTTTTCGTTAGGTTCAGAATGATTTTGGCGAAATTATTGCATACACAAATTTTCGCTTGTCGTATATGGCAAGATGAACGTTGCTATTTAAGCCAAGATCGCAAGTTCTGCCTATTCGGCACGACATATATATATATATATATATATATATATATATATATATATATATATATATATATATATATATATATATGCAAGTAATTCGCAAGAGCAGGCGAAATATACACAAACACTGATCTCTGGCTGAAGGAGACTCGAACCTACGAACCTTGGAACAAGGTATGCAGTGCTTTACCAATCTACCCACACTGGACCAATACCTTGGAGTCCAGCTTGCGCTAGACTTTGATCCAAGGCAGCCAGCTTTCAGGGAGAAGTCTTACAGCTTTTCATCTCATTCCCTGCATGCATCAGCCTCACTAGAGATATTAACAATGCATGGAATTCACAAGAGCAGGCGGATGAGATGAAAAGCTGTAAGCCTTCTCCCTGAAAGCCTTGGATCAAAGTCCAGCTGGACTCCAAGGTATTGGTCCAGTGTGGGTAGATTGGTAAAGCACTGCGTACCTTGTTCCAAGGTTCGTAGGTTCGAGTCTGGCAAAACATTTAGGATATAGATACCAAAGTGTTACAGGTGTGTCTTATTCATCGTTCTTGCAGAAAGGTGGGGACCATCAAATGATATACAGGGGAATCTCCATACTCGAACAGCTACGTACTCAGTTCGGTACTCGAACGGTTTTCTCGGTAAAAAAAAATCGCTCGGTAGTCGACCACACAAACACGAACTGCCAGAACATGTGCGCCAGTCTCCCTGCAGCTGTCGCTCAGTCGAAAACTCCGCTGAACTTCACTGTAAACTATTTCGTGTTTCTTTGCATTTTTGGGTGTTTTTTTTTTTTTTATATTGTAAGTCACCATGGTGCCTAAGAAGATTAGTGATACCAAAAAGAAAATTGCTTAGTTTGTGTTTGCCCTGTTGTGAACACCGCCTCTGCCTCCCATATAATATGCGTTTTATTATTAATTTCGGCGTCATTATTGTACTTCTAGGTTATCTATTGTGTTTCTGATATCAAGTTGGAATAAATATGATAGATAACCTTTATTACTAATAGCGTAATTACATAACATTGTATTCGCGTCATTGCTAGTATCCAGCTATCAAAACGACTCTTCAGATACTGAATGCTCCTTCTGGCCGCTCCCTCTCTCCTATAGCTCCTCAAACTTCGGAACGCCCCGCTTATATTACGCTTGCATTCCATTTTGAATTTTTATTCACACAAAAAATAGAAGATTTAAAGTTATGCAGACTACTGCATTATTGAAAAAAAATGGTATAAATAATATCAGCACATTTATGAAAGCATATTAGACCCACCAGTTGACGTGTATCGGAAGCGTGACATGATTTGTTTACTCTTGAACAACAAAAGTCGAACATTTCCGCTACTTTGAGCTCAATTTCTAGGTACTTTCATTCAGTAAATCATTCAAAATCATCTCTGTTTCTGTAATATATCTTTCATTCTATCCAATGAGACCAAGAAAACGAGAATACAGTCATAAATACCATACGAAAATACACCGCAGTGCCACTGTAAATGTATTTTTGTAGGGTCTGAAACGGATTAATCAAATTAACGTTATTCCTTATGGGAAAAATTCGATCGGTACTCAAACAGATCGGCACTCTAGAACGAATTAAGTTCGAGTACGAGGTTCCACTGTACTATGCTAGGAAGCATATCTTGCGATTAGCAGAGGATCGAGCCTCCACCACTTCTCATTATTTTAATTTTCAAGCATTCTTCCAGTGTGCATTATTACACGTGAAGCGCTAAACTCTTATGGGTCATTCAGAGCAAGAAGTGGTAGAGGCTGAATGTTGCCTTCACACTGCCAAGTTTTACCTGGCTGTGAATAGTGTGTGTGGACTCAGTCAAGTGGAGTGTCGGGAAGACGGAAAGTGAAAAATATAAGACTGGTCAAACACTACAGCAGGTCTACTGGCTCATACAAGGCAGGTCCTTCTCAAAACGAACCATTCCCACGCTAGGAGAGACGAGGACAAAGACACGGACAACAGAAGAACGGATAATCATTATGAACGCGTGGGTTATACAGTGCCTGGCAAATTGGAGATAATAGAGCTTGATCCGAGGATTTGGATGGTAGTTTCAATCCTTGGGCTCAGTAGCTCTTCACTAGCAACAACTAGATGACTGAAGATTGGAGGACAAGTATGACAGCCGGGTAATTAAGAACAGAGAGGGAGACACGTGCAAAGAATATTAAGATATAACCAAGCCACCAGGATAGAACGAGGAAGAAAAGACTACGTTAAAAAAGAAGAGATTTGAGTTATTTACAGTTGAAAATGTTCCAGCGGCTACACCCTTAATTCAAAGTTACATTCACATAGATAAGGTTTTTTTGGCACGGCACGAAAACCACAGTAGATTTTTTTTTTTTTCAAAAATTTTTTTTTATACAAAAAATTAAAATACAACAAGTTAATAATCTTTCATGTGTTTCTTCATTATGACACAGTTTATACAATAACAGCAAATCTACAAATTAGACAGATAAGCACAATTTACTAGGCACTATTAGTCTCATTTTAAACATTCCGAGTATTTGTTGAAGGTTAGGCTAGGTAAATTCGTCAGGAAGCAAGTGTTTCCTTATGCGGGTCTTAGTTACATAACAATCCGCAGCTGGAGCTTTTGGTCATCTGATCGAGGCCTTCCTCTAGTTTACCGGCCCACTCTTTTAAAAATTATAGTTGTTATAACCATTAATTTTTAATAATTTGTTGAAGGAAAAGCACATCGGCATTAAAAACCTGATCTATCAGGTTTTTATATACCCTCCCTGTTACCAGCATTCTCACGACACAGATCACAGATTTTCATAGAAGCAAGGCTAATTGTGAACCAGATATTCATAGATTATAATGAACTATGCATGATCCCTTTATTTCTCAGTCATCATGTACTCCGTGAAGTGTGTCGAACCTAACGTGATCCATTTATATTTAATGAGGCGTAAAACCGTAGCATGAGTCACGGGCTCATCTACTATGAAACTAAAGGGCCCCTAATCTCGGAAGGGCCCCAGAAGCGACTTTGGTCCACATTGCTTAAAATTTTTTGATCTAATGTATGAGAAAGGATCGCGAAGGGGTCCCCATAACAGCTCAAGCTTCAGGGCTCCAAAAATATAGGTCCGCCACTGGCTCGGGTAAGTCAGCGGATGCGTGGGGCTGAACTAGTCATTATATAGCTAAGTCCCCTCGTCAGGAGAGATTTTTCCTGACGAAGACAAGATTACCACAAGTTCGTCATTGCGATAAGCGTTGTATTTTGTTCCTCCATCACAGGTATCACTATACTATACCGAAAGCCGACAAAGAAGCCTCCCAACCTGTTCAGCTTTCTGTCGCCGCTGTCACTGGACGTCTGGCTCTACATGGCTACAGCCTACCTTGCTATCTCTCTACTCCTCTTCGTGTTGGCAAGGTCAGAAAATTCATTTTTTTTAATGGTATGTTGTGTAGGTGCACTGGAAGAAGTCAGGTGTGTGTGCTTGGTGTTGTATTGGTGCACTGTAGAAGGGATAAGTGTGTGTGCTCGGTGTTGCATTGGTCCACTGCAGAAGGGATAAGTGTGTGTGTTTGGTGTTATATTGGTGCAATGTAGAAGGGATAAGTGTGCGTGCTTGGTGCTGTATTGGCGCACTGGAAGGAGGGTTAAGTGTGTGTGTGCTTGGTGTTGTGTATACTATTGTGTGTATTGTTTTTATGTTTGCAGGTGTGTTCGTGTATGTGCCGCGTTCTAGAGAATATGTGAGCGTAGTGTTTATTATTGTGAGTGGGTTTCATAACGTGTAGTTTTAGGTATGTGCGACAGTGAGTGTGATTATGCCTGCGAAGTTATGTAGTGTAAAGTTGTGTGTGTGTGTGTGTGTACGTATACTCACCTAATTGTACTCGCCTAATTGTGGTTGCAGGGGTCGAGACTCAGCTCCTGGCCCCGCCTCTTCACTACTGGGTCCTCCCTCTAACTGCTCCATGAGCTTTATCATACCTCGTCTTAAAACTATGTATGGTTCCTGCCTCCACTACATCGCTTGCCAGACTATTCCACTTCCTAACAACTCTGTAGCTGAAGAAATACTTCCTAACATCCCTTTGACTCATCTGAGTCTTCAGCTTCCAATTGTGACCCCTTGTTTCTGTGTCCCATCTCTAGAACATCCTGTCTCTGTCGTGTTTGTATGTGTGTGCGTGTTTGCGTGTGTGTGTATGTGTGTTTAGTGTTCGTATCTGAGTCGTACACCTACAAAAGTTGACGTCCTGGTAGTGTTGTATATTTGTATACAATTGTATGCAGCAAAGTGGTCATTAAAATACACATTTAATGTATATTTTTTATGTACATTATTTTTATGCAAGGGCTATCGGAGATTCATCTGAAGTGGGATGTCGGCACGCTTCTGGCTACGCAGTAACTGACTGAATGACGAGGAAAGTGTTTTCTCTTTCTCAGGTTACCATCCCTCGGTGGGAGACGGCCGGTGTGTTATTTATTTTAATTATATACAATGACGATCCCGTCAAACATAAATATGATACATTCTGAGAAATTATACTGCTTGAGTGTTCTGATGTATGAATTTACACATGTATGTATAACTATGTAAAAATGCATGAAATATTGTCAAAATACATTTTAAGAAAGTTATTTTCGTTGCTTCCTGTATAATATTACTAACCAAGTTATTAATTATTTCAGCCTTAGAATACTAATCATTCTGAGAAGAGCTTCTCTGTGCATGTTAGGTTGTATTATCCATGTCATTATCATACATGTCAGTATCACCTATGTCAGTACCATTCATGTTAGTATCATCCATGTTAGTATCATCCATGTTAGTATCATCCATGTTAGTATCATCCATGTTAGTATCATCCATGTTAGTATCATCCATGTTAGTATCATCCATGTCATTATCATGCATGTCAATATCATGCATGCCAGTATCATCCATGTTAATATCATCCATGTCAGTATCACCCACGTCAGTATCACCCATGTCAGTATCATGCATGTCAGTATCACCCATGTCAGTATCACCCATGTCAGCATCATGCATGTCAGTATCATGCATGTCAGTATCATGCATGTCAGTATCACCTATGTCAGTACCATCCATGTTAGTATCATCCATGTTAGTATCATCCATGTTAGTATCATCCATGTTAGTATCATCCATGTTAGTATCATCCATGTTAGTATCATCCATGTCAGTATCATGCATGTCAGTATCATGCATGTCAGTATCACCCATGTCAGTATCACCCATGTCAGCATCATGCATGTCAGTATCATGCATGTCAGTATCATGCATGTCAGTATCACCCATGTCAGTATCACCCATGTCAGTATCACCCATGTCAGCATCATGCATGTCAGTATCATCCATATCAGTATCATCCATATCAGTATCACCCATGTCAGTATCATGCATGTCAGTATCATGCATGTCAGTAACATCCATGTCAGTATCACCCATGTCAGTATTATGCATGTCAGTATCACCCATGTCAGTATCATGCATGTCAGTATCACCCATGTCAGTATCATGCATGTCAGTATCCGTGTCAGTACCATCCATGTCAGTATCACCCATGTCAGTATCATGCATGTCAGTATCACGTATGTCAGTATCATGCATGTCAGTATCATGCATGTCAGTATCATGCATGTCAGTATCATGCATGTCAGTAACATGCATGTCAGTATCACCCATGTCAGTATCACCCATGTCAGTATCACCCATGTCAGTATCATCAGTATCATCGGTGTCAGTATCACCCATGTCAGTGTCATTCACATCAGTACCATCCATGTCAGTATCATCAGTGTCAGTATCATCCATATCAGTACTATCGGTGTCAGTATCATCCATGGCAGTAAAATCCAGCTAGAATATGAGGTAAAGGTGTATAATTAGCCAGTATGTCTGACTCGCGATTAACGGATGGAGGATCGAGCCTTCAACACTCCTTGCGCTGACTGACCCGGAAGAATTTAACACTATATAAAAATATTAATGAGGATTACCTTAGATGGTAGCGCATGGTTTCTGAGATAGGCCTTGGCAGGTATATTAACCAGTATAGGGTCTACATAATAGCCTAAGACATGTTAAGGGGCCTCGGTAAGCATAATAAAGCTACTGAGATGAGCCTTTGAAGCAGGAGACTACTAAGACTACAGTAGTAGGTAGGCTAAGGCTATATAGCAACAGTGTGAGACTTCAAATATACACCGGCCACTAGTCAGCTGCCCCGCCTGACGTTATCCTGACAGGTTCTCGCCCTACGAGTGGTCCAACCCACACCCGTGCGACCAGTCCCCAGACAAACTCGACAATGAATTTTCTCTCCTCAACTGCCTCTGGTTCTGCATCGGTTCCCTAATGCAACAGGGAGGAGATCTCCTGCCGAAGTAAGGAGGAGACAAGAAGAAGAGAATGATAAAATGTGTTAGAAATAATAATTGTTTTTACCCTTACCTGGATGATAACTCCAGTGTTTAGTTTGGTGTCGGATTGCTTTTCATGTATTCTCTTTTGTTTAATTTGGAGGCTTATCAGCAATGCTTGCTCGTTGGAACTTATAAATATTTCACACTGTTAAATCTAGTTCCCAGAGTTAGCATTAAGAGTGACAAATCCCCCCATTCATAAGCTTTGAATGTACCCCTTTCCCCCTCCCTTGCATTCCCTTAAAATTTCTAAAACATTTCCCTGTGTTCGAAGAAGAATCTTTGCAAGCTACTTGAATAACAGATTGACAACCCTGACACTGACACGCACAATACTGCTATTATTGGTTTACCGCCATTGTTTTGTCAGGTTTACCACCTGGCGTTGGGAAATTTATGTCCAGAGAATGTATTCCATTTTCCGATACTCTGATCCATAAGCAACTGTATCGGTTCGACCAAGCCTTAGTCACTCAGCCAGGTCAACAGCTGACGCAGTAGTCAGTCAGTCAGCCAGCCAGCCACTAATACACTAAGTCCAAGGGATCAAAAGACCAATCCATCACTTACTCTGAGGGGTCACTGAGACCGTCATCAGCAACACTGTACAGTGTGTGTAGGTTCCTTGGAACACTTTACGGTGTGTGTAGGTTGAAGCACTGCACAATGTGTGTGCTTTTCCGGAACAATACCATATGTGTGGGTTCTCCGAAACACTGTATAATGGGTGAATGTTCTCAGGAATACTGTACCATGTATATGTTTTTGTCTGGCTGGAGTTGCTTGCATCTGCTTCCTCTCCTAAATGCTTACGCCCCAGAGGGAAGATTTTCGTGTAAATATTCTGTAATTTCACTGATGCAGAAAACCGAAGGCATGTGGGATGCGCTAAACCATTATGATTCATTCAGCATCTTTAGGAATGGAAGGATATCAAGCTAGATTCAAGGGTGCCGTCCATTCCTCACTTCGAGAGCCGTTCACCGACATCAGAGCACCTCTCTTGAAGTGGGAAAAAAATACTTGAACATCTTCCCTACCGTATGTTTTGCGTTTAGTGTTGTCTACCATGTGTCCGACTCTGTCCCCCTTACTCCACAGGTTAAGTCCCTATGAATGGATCGAATCCTATCCGTGCAGACAAGAGGAAGACAGAACTAGGGAAAATCAGTATAATCTCTTCAATTCTCTCTGGTTTACAATGGGCAGCCTACTACAGCAAGGCACAGAGCAGCAGCCCAAGTAAGCCTCACGTAACCTTGCAGGCGCTAGGCTTGGGAAGCTTCAAAACAGAAAAATACATTTTTTTCACGAATTAGTTTATTTTGCAGTATCCTTAATGGTTACCGGACATTAGTGGAAACCAGTTGCTAGTGATCATTAGATTCTAGTGAGCATTAGATACTAGTGGTTACTAGATATTAGTGTAGGGAGTAGTGGAAACTACAACACATCTTAACTAGTGAACAAACCACGGTACGGTTTGGGGATTGAACTCGCGGCAAGTGAGTCGTAAAATTCCAGGCCAGCGCGTAAACCACTGGGCTAAGTCTACCAACTTATATATTCCATCATACAGTATCTCGAGATTCGTATTAAAATAGTTCACCTCAATACTTGCTCCTTGAGATTTAAAAAAAAAATTCTTAGTAGAGAATAAAACTATGCGGAACAATTCGTTCTTAGTCACAACAATAAATTTCGAAAATGGAAACTTAGTTTGAAGTGTGTGTGTGTGTGTGTGTGTGTGTGTGTGGTGTGTGTGTGTGTGTGTGTGTGTGTGTGTATGTGTGTGAATGAGAAAACACTTATGCCGATACATGTAAAAACTTCAGTTAGGTTCATTACCAACCTTAAATTAAATGTATCAGAAGAAAATATTTGAAAAAAAGTAGTGTTGTGTTGAGCAAACCACGATAGGTCCTCCATGACAGAACGTTTCCTTATACAAGTTAAAAGTTGTCTATCAGAAAAATGCTTTATTTCACTCGGGAATTTATGTACATTTCCTTCTTCACCTGGGAACTACATACAACTGAACCTGATAAAGAACGTGTTGTCCGGTTTGAATATTTTCATTATAATTTTGTTCCAAACTCTCATGCTACCTGGACGCAAACATTCAGAGTAAAATATATCTAACGTAGCCTATGTGGCATAAACCTTCCTCTGTTAAGTACAACTCTTACCTAACAGTGCGCTCCCACAAGGATAATTTAAGTGTCCCCAGCAACATCTTGCTTCACTCTCTACATACTAGATGTCCTACATTCTCTGACGGCCTTTGTCTTCGCTGTTTATATCTCCGGCAATTGTTTCCCTCTCAAGCGAATCCTTTATACGAAAATAAGTTCTTCTATTGGCCAACAATCGTGTTTACCTTTCAGAAAAAGCCTCTCTAAAAAGCATACTCTTCCACTGGCCTCTGTATTTGTATTCCCAAGAACTGAGTCCTCCAGCAGAACCCTTTCCCTGGTAACAAGTTCCTCCGTAAGCAAGAATGTGTTCCTCGCCTGCTTGCTTGTTTGTTGCTCGTGCATCCTGGTCCCCAGTGTGCCACAACCTCGGACTCGTCACCCAGTGGCTCCTTACTCTATATTACAGTAGTTCTTCCCTTAACCCAGGCAGGCAACGTGAGAAGACATAATGAATGACGTAGGTCACCAGAAGGCCTGTCTAGATCCCACAACCCCAAAACCTATTAGGTCGCCAGAACCTAAACCCTACTGATCCTAACACCAGTGCTTCTTTCTAGATTTCGCTGCCCTAAACACCGTATTAGGCAGATCTGAACAGCATGCCTCAGACGCTCCCACTGATATCAATAATTGCATGGTACTTTCAAAACAATAATACGCAAGAACATGATTATTTGGGGAAATTTTATATTTTCACTCGCGTTCTAGAGACTTGTGTATCCAAAAAACATGAATATGAAGTTAAATTCTTTAAATCCACAAACAGTAATTTATAATGGAAAAAATTCCTTTTAATAAATACATCACAGAATAGAAGTGGTGAGAGAGCCTTGCATGTCAGAGTAAGAGGGTGAGGGGCTGCCTGAAAGATTCATGTTAGTGTTGTAAGTGATGGTCTAAAATTTACTTGTGTGTTGGTGTTGAAATTCACTTAGGTGTTGTAAATGTTGGTGGTGGTGTGTTGTAGTGTAGGTCGATGGTGTGTTAGTATAGTGTTGCATGTTAGTACCTGTTATAGATAAGTGTCCCTTTGTTTTTCATTCTTTTGATGACTATAACTAGGATATTAAAAATGAAATTTCTCGTAATAATAAAAAATATAATTTAAATGAAAATATACGGAAAAACTAATATATTTGTAATGGATAATGTACGCGAGGAAAATTTTACAAATTATTAATCGCTCTTCTGTTATTTCCTCTTTTCACTCCTTCACGACTTTCCTTAATTCCCGCAACATTTTCCTTTCCTTAACCTTTCACACTTTTTTTTATCTGCTCTGATTTATATTTTTCCTAACCACTATGGTGATGCTTATCTCCCTTATTTTTTTTTATTTCTACTCTCTCACACAATACATTATACACATCTGATTTTTTCCTGATTTTCTTTCTCGTTAAATTTCCTTGGCTGTATTAATATTGTTTTTTATACTCTCTATGTCTCTGTCTTGTTATTTAATCTGATGATCTTTCTCACTTGTCTTCTAATTTAATTCCATCTTTCATTAAATGCTATCTGTCTCTGTCTGTCTGTCTGTCTCTCTCTCCTCTCTCTCTCTCTTTAATCCTTACTCCCTCATTTACACCTTTCCCCATCTCAACTCTTTCTTTATCCCTCCTTCCTCGTCACCATCTTCCCCTACATACTTACCCGTCACTGTCCATTCGCTTCACCACCTTCCATCACTACTCTTCCCCGTCACTACTCATTCCCTTCACTCCCCTTCCCTTTACTCCGCTTCTCTTCACTCTCCTTCCCTTTCACTTCCCTTCTCTTTTACTCTTCCTCACTCCCCTTTCCTTTCACTCCCTTTCTCTTCCCTTCCCTCCCCTTCCTTTCATTCTCCTTCACTCCCCTTCCCTACACTCCCCTTCCCTACACTCCCCTTCCCTACACTCCCCTTCACCCCTTCACTCCCCATCACTTCCCTTCCCCTTGGCCACTCTGCTGCAGGGCCGTGTCCACCCGCATCGTGGCTGGTATCTGGTGGTTCTTCACACTCATCATGATCTCCTCCTACACTGCCAACCTGGCCGCATTCCTCACCGTGGAGCGCATGGAGTCGCCCATAGAGTCGGCCGAGGACCTGGCCAAGCAGACCAGGATCAAGTATGGCTCCCTCTACGGGGGCTCTACCTGGGATTTTTTCGCGTAAATATGAATTTTCAATTTAGTTTTCTTGAACGATGAATGTGTTGCGAAGTTGATGCTCACTCTTGTGCAATGTAGAGCGTTAGCTATCATTTGTCAAAGGCACAATAGATAGACGTTTAAACGTGGTGTGTGTGCGTGTGTGTGTGTGTGTGTGTGTGTGTGTGTGTGTGTGTGTGTGTGTGTGTGTGTGTGTGTGTGTGTGTGCGTGCGCGTGTGCGTGCGTACTAACCTGCTGGCATCGCTGAGAAAACTCTGTTCGCTTCGAAGCAGCTCCATATCTCTTTATATTTCTTTTCAGTAATTCCAAGATGCCAACTTACCAGAGAATGTTCAGCTTTATGGAGTCTCAAAATCCATCGGTTTACACCAAATCTAACGAGGAGGGAGTGAAGAGAGTTCAGAAGGGTGACGGGCAGTACGCCTTCATGATGGAGTCCTCCAGTATAGAGTACATCACGGAGAGGTACTGTGATCTTACGCAAGTTGGCGGACCACTCGACTCCAAGAGCTATGGCATCGCACTCCCTCCAGGTGAGACCAAGAAAACGACTCGACTTTCTTGTTTTGATTTTGGGAGGAAAATGTACCCTAACATCTAACGTCTAATTTTTGTTCTGTCGTAATCTAGTACATCTATCTATCATTTTACTGAGATATTCACTTGAAAAGTAATCCCCAGACGCCTGTGACCACAGGCAAGGGGTGGGGTGGGGGGGGGGGGTTCTGTAAGACAGCGGAAGGTCACGGTCACATGACCACAAGCTCTATTAAGCTAATCGTCATATGACTTAAGACCTGCATCAGGAGAATTTTTAATGGATTTGTACTGACAAAGCAGCTCACCATCACCAGGGTGAGGGTGACACCACTGTGAGGGTGACACCACTGTGAGGGTGACACCACTGTGGGGGTGACACCACTGTGGGGGTGACACCACTGTGGGGGTGACACCACTGTGGGGGTGACACCACTGTGGGGGTTGACACCACTTTTGGGGTGACACCACTGTGGGGGAACCCGTGGGGGGGACACCACTGTTGGGGGTGAACACCACTGTGGGGGTGACACCACTGTGGGGGTGACACCACTGTGGGGGTGACACCGCTGGAAAACTCCCTTCTGAAACGTTCATTTATTTATAATAGATTACAAGACAACAAATTTTTCTTCTTACCTTTTAGAAATTGGCACAGATGTGGCAGTCTGGAGAGTCGTTGGTACTGTGATGACCTCGAACGTCTCTCAAACTAACCATTAAATGAATGATTGTGAATGTATTCCTCTTAATCACTCTACTGATACACAGATTCTACCAGACAGCTATTGAATGAGTGATGGTGAATGTGTTTCCTTCTTTGGGTTATTATGGGAAACGGCCTGTGAGGTAAAATAAAAAAAAAATAGAGTGTATTTCACGTATATGCTCAGATTTTCCACATACCTTCGCTTAAAATAGATAGTATCTCGTCTTCGATCCTATTTATCTTTCTCCTCAACTGAATCTTGTCTCACAAAACCTCAGCTTTCTGCATGACTAGAGCTTCATCACAGCATTTATTTCCCCTCTAATGAGCGTAATTGATAAATCTAAGAACTATTTTTCAGAGCACATCAGTTGATTGACCATTCATGAATTATACCCAGAAAAAAATATGCTGATTAATATGGTCAATGAATATTATTAATATAATTATGATTAATATTATTATTAAAATTAGTATTCATTGGGCCCCTTTCGGTTTTCTTCTCAAGTTATTCCGCTACTACTTTTGTTTCTAATGTTCATTCATCCTTCTGGCCTCATGGGTGGTTGGATGGTTAGGTTTAAAGCCTATCGACTGCATGAAGGTCATTATGGCCGTGTGTCATCTGTACACCACTACACAGAATATTTTATTCTCTTAAATAAAGAAAGCCTTACATTATATATAAATATTATATATATATATATATATATTATTAATATATATATATTATATATATATATATATATATATATATAATTATATTATATATATGTGTGTTGTGTGTGTGTGTGTGTCGTGCCGATATTGTAAAAACTGGTCAATTAGCAAGAACTCATTTAAAATTAAATACTTTCTAAATTTTCTCTTATACGTTTAAAGATAATATTTTTTCATTAATGTTGATGTAAAAATTTATAATTTTGCACCAAAAGAACTTAGAAAACTTACCTAGCATTATAACAAGAACAATTATTTTAGCCTAACCCAACTAAATATATTTAGATTTGTTTACAATAATTTAATACTAAACAAACACAGTGAAATATATTTTTTTCGCTAGGTTCAAAATGATTTTTGGCGAAATTTTGCATACACAAATTTTCACTTGTCTATATGGCAAGATGAGCGTTGCTATTTAAGCCAAGATCGCAAGTTTCTGCCTATTCGGCACGACATATAAATATATATATATATATATATATTATATATATAATATATATATATATATAATATTATATATATATATATATTATATATATATATAATGTCGTGCCGAATAGATCAAATTAATCAGTTAGCAACAACTCGTTTAAAATTAAGTCCTTTCTAAAATTTTCTCTTACACGTTTAAATATATATTTTTTTTCATTTATGTTAATGAAAAAATTAATAATTTTTTACCAAAAAAACCCTTAGAAAACTTATCTTATTATAACAAGCGGAATTTAGTTTAGCCTAATCCAACTAAATATATTTTAGATAAGTTTACAATAATTTAATGAACAAGCAAAACTAAATATATTTTTTTCGTTAGGTTCAGAATGATTTTTGCATCGACACCATGCCCAGCCCTTCTAGGGTAGGGTAGGTGCCAGAGCCCGAGCCTTTAGCTCATAAGACTGTCATTCCCATTTGCCCCCTTGGGGCGGGGATGGCAGACCAGAGAGGCCTAGCTTGTGGCTAGGCCTGGGGACAGTTGGTCCCAAAGATGAGGAGGTACTTGTGCCTCCTCCCATGGGAGACTTAGGTCTCAGATACTCCCTAAAGAGGGAGCCAAGGCCGGGCCACCACTTGGAAAAGCCCGGGCCGGGAGAATATACCGGCTAATCTTTAATAAAAATAAATGATTTTTGATCAATTATTGCGTAAAAAAATTTTTCGCTTGCCATATTCGGCATGTAAGAGTTTTGTTATTTAAGTCAAAATCGGAAGTTTTACGTATTCGCACGACATTAATATTATATATATATATATATATAATATATATATATATATATATATATATAATATATAATATATATATATATATATCTCACACAGTAAGTCCTCACTTAACGTTGTTGATAGCTTCTTGGAAACTGCGACTTTAAGCGAAACGATGTATAACGAAACCACACCTCGCTGTCCAACTCAAGCTTTTTCTGTTTTTTGTGCCCAAAGACTTCTTGGGTGCACTGTGCACCTTTAGTACTCATTACAACAAGGTTAAATCAAGAGGTAAATGTCTGCAAAACAAAAATTGCAAGGAGTGCCACATACCACCAGGCAGTTCAAAAACAAACAATAACAAATATGACGGACGCGCAGAGCGCTTTCGTACAGCGTCGTTTATTGTCGTGCATTAGTATGATTATTGTATACTTCTTGAGTTTATTTTTCTCAACAACGTTATAACGAAACGACGTTATTCGAGGACCTGCTGTATAATATATACTATATATATATATATATATATATATATATTATATAATATATATATATTATATACAATAAATTTAAAAATATATAAGTCATCAATTATAATACTGCATGCTGATCAATGTGCAAAATAGTTATATCAATCAGTCAAAAGAACTGAGTAGGAGAAACTAGTATTAAAATGCTTATTATTTTATTGTAATAAATGACAGTATATATATAAAATTTTATGGTCAAGTTTGGTATAGGAGAATAATAAGGAAGAGAATCCTTCACCCAAGGATCCAAGGAACCGGACTTGTCCTCCCCTTCCTTAGATCAAACCTGAATGCTTGCCCTTTCGGATTTAGCGCTTTTTCCCCTCCGATTAAATCAACGCACCCAAGAGGTGGGTTGGTTTCTCAACCGTAATTATTTTATCTCTAACTTGTGTGTGTTATAATGCTGGGCGCTGCGCCCCCCACCGCACACACAAACACACACCAGGATCCCCCTACCGCACGCTACTCAACTCTGCTGTACTCAAGCTGCAGGAGATTGGCAGACTACACGCTCTCAAACGCAAGTGGTGGAAGGAGAAACGGGGTGGGGGCACCTGCCAGGTAACACTCAAGGCCTCCACGCCCACACCTCCCCCCCCCCTTTCCTCTCTCTCCACCCCACTTTCCTATTAACCCTTCCCCCCCCACACCCTTGTAACTTTTTCTCCCACGCTATGTAACCTTTTCCAAATGCTGTGTAACCTTCCCACGCTGTGTAATGTTTTCCCGTGTCCCTGTAATCGTTCTCCATGATATGTATCCTTTCTCCATGCTATATAACCTTTTTTCATGCTGTATAACCTTTTTTCATGCTATATAACCTTTTCCCATGCTATATAACCTTTTTCCATGCTATATAACCTTTTTTCCATGCTGTATAACCTTTTTCCATGCTATATAACCTTTTTCCATGCTATATAACCTTTTTCCATGCTATATAACCTTTTTTCATGCTGTATAACCTTTTTTCCATGCTATATAACCTTTTTCCATGCTATATAACCTTTTCCATGCTAAAATAACCTTTTTCATGCTGTATAACCTTTTTCCATGCTATATAACCTTTTTCATTTCTATATAAACCTTTTTCCATGCTATATAACTTTTTTCTTTCATGCTATATAACCTTTTTTCCTTGCTCATAAACCTTTTTCCATTTCTTATAACCTTTTTCCATGCATATAACCCTTTTCCATGCTACATACCTTTTCCATGCTATATAACCTTTTTCCATGCTATATAACCTTTTTCTGTGCTATATAACCTTATTCCATGCTATATAACCTCTTCAACACGCCCCCCATAACTTTTTCCCACGTCCCTATAACATTTTCTCCGCTTCTCCATAAAAGTTTCTCTAGTTCTATAAAATTTTCTTACACTCGTATAACCATTTCCTAGTTCTCCATGACCTTCCCCTCCCCGTCATCCATAATCTTTCCGCGTCCCTATATCTTTTTTTCCCACAATTTGTTTTCCACGTACCTATAATCTCTCCCTCTATAAGCTTCACCCATGCTCACAGGTTCTCCCACTCAACAGTTCCCACGCCCTATAACCTTGCCCCATGCCCACAATCTCCCCTTACCACATTACATTACTGCCTCACAGATTCCTCATCCTCCCTCAAGCTCATCACGTTCCTAGGCCCGCCAAACTGCTATCGTGGTTATTGTATATATCCGTAAGTCAATCACACCATCAGTTCGGGAATCATATAACTTCTATTGCTGGATGACAAGACGCACGAAACAGCGTAAGATTATATTAGAACATCTCGCTCAAGGTCGTGGGTAAGATCTGGTCGGGAAGATAAAGAAACTCGATAAAACTTCTAATTGAAACGAACGTGTTTTAATAAGTATTATCTCTGAGGGATGGGCATGCTTGCAGGCACTTGAAATATCTTATTAAGGAAAGTATTCTCTGTCCCCTTAAAACGTTGGAATGCAAAGGGCCCAGGGGGAACCATTCCTACAGCATGTCTGAAGTGCTTGCACACATGCTTTTTTTCCAAACTTGGGTCATTTCACAAGTGTTCTGTTTCGTGTGTCGTTTTGTCATATACGGCGCTTTTCCTCTTCCAGCAACCCCTTCGCTGACAGCTATTTTGTTTACGTTTTATGACGAGTCTTCAAATATTATTTCGACACTCCGAGCATTGCCATCTGCTTGCCTGCATGAGAACTCAGGACTAGGTTCCCTAGCTTGTTTTGTTTAGCCTCTATGGCCTGCAGTCCACCCGGCTGATACGTTTTTCTACCAGCTGTCACAGTTTATGCCCTCCCCCGTCTTGATAGCTTCCCCTACCAAGCTTGCGCTAGTGTTCTGTGCTCCGTCCCAAATGATCTATATAGACTTTATCTCCCGCAGCTTTATAGCATTTTTTCAAACTTTTCTCTGCACTTGTCTTCCTTCGCTGCCTGGATTTAGAATGTTGATACTGATTATTTTCATTCATCCACAGGCCTCGCCGTGTAACACGGGACTCTCTCCTATTAATATTTTTGGGTCACCTGAAGATTCACTTCCCCTCCGTAATGGAAAACAGTTGACTAAAGTTATGCGTTTTTTTTTTTTTTTAATATGCCAGCTTGTAAGTTTTGCATCAAATATAAAGTAGCAATCTTTGCTAAAATTTACATAATATATGGTAGATTAATTGTCCTTACCTGTCTTAGAAACAGCATCCTTTTAACCAATTGTTTTCCTAAAGGGGTCGATATCTCCCGATGACCCATATTTGGATCAATATTTTTTTATAGATGAGTTGCTTACACAGGCTCACCCTTCACGAACGCCATCTCTGGGGCAATACTGAGCCTGCAAGAGGGAGGCAAACTGCAGGCTCTGAGGACGCGCTGGTGGAAGCACAAAAAGGGAGGGGGGCAGTGTAAAGTAAGAGGAACCTCTTTTAGTGTTGTACTACTGCTAACATAAGTAAACTCTCCCACCATTGCTAGTGAACAATAAGTATCCTACTACTAACACCAAATTTTTATCAACCTTTCACTCTACCTTCAGTGAGTTTAGACTTTGAATGTGATATAGCAAACAACTGTTATATATAATGCTCGTATCGCTGAATTTTAAGCGGTTAAAAGCCTACTCACTATCACTTAACATTGCTTTTCAAGGATTACACTTAGATTCAGAGACTAAACTCGCACTAAACATCCTCCCCCAAAGGAAGAAAAATAAAGGTACCCCTTCAGTGTATATAACCCAACTATAAGTTAAACACAACCTTAACAAACTGATGTTATTCTTGAATCATTCTACTGCACCTAGATTTCTCAAGCACCACCTAATGTTTCCTTTACCTCCGTGCGATGATAAAAGCTACTATGTAGAGGTCAGAAATATCACTTAAGATAAAACATAAATGTTAGATTAATAATTTGAATGTAATTAAAAATATTATTCTTTATATAGAGAGAGATATATAAGCGGAGGATTCACAGACCAATAGTGTTGAAACTCGTTCACCATAAAACAAACGAATAAACCTGAATTTAACCTTTAGGTTTATTCAAGTTTATTCACACAAAACAGCCATTCACTTCAACGAGGGTACCTCCGTCTTGGTGGGTGAGGGGGTTCTTGATCCAGGGAATTGGAGCTGCTACCATTCCCTTCGGGAACAAACCTGAATAAGAAATAATAATTGACGGCAGAGGCACCTTAACCACCTTAGCAAGTGTGTGCCACCAGTGTCAGTGACACCTTACCACCTTAGCAAGTGTGTGCCACCAGTGGCAGTGACACCTTTATCACCATAGCAAGTGTGTGCCACCAGTGGCAGTGACACCTTACCACCTTAGCAAGTGTGTGCCACCAGTGGCAGTGACACCTTTAACACCATACCAAGTGTGTGCCACCAATGGCAGTGACACCTTTACCACCTTAGCAAGTGTGTGCCACCAGTGGCAGTGACACCTTTACCACCATACCAAGTGTGTGCCACCAGTGGCAGTGACACCTTTACCACCATACCAAGTGTGTGCCACCAGTGGCAGTGACACCTTTACCACCATACCAAGGGTCTACCAGTGGGACCTTTTTACCTACCAATGTGTGCCCCAGTGGGAGGCACCTTTACCACCATACCTGTGTGCCCTCCCGTGGCAGTGACCTTTTATACCATACCCAAATGGTGCCACCAGGGGCAGTGACACCTTTACCACCAATGTGTGTGCCACCAGTGGGCCCGTGACACCTTTACCACCATACAAGGTGTCCACCAGTGGCAGTGCACCTTTACCACCATTTCCCAATTGTGTGCCACCAGTGTCAGTGACACCTTTTCCCCATACCAAGTGTGTGCCACCAGTGTCAGTGACACCTTTACCACCATACCAAGTGTGTGCCACCAGTGGCAGTGACACCTTTACCACCATACCAAGTGTGTGCCACCAGTGGCAGTGACACCTTTACCACCACACCAAGTTTGGGGCCACCCCTTTTGGCTGACACCTTTTTTTACCATACCAAGTGTGGGCCCCCAGTGGCAGGGGGGACACCTTTACCACCATACCAAATGTGTGTCACCACTGGCAGTGACCCTTACTCCAACCAAGTGGTGCCACCATGGCAGTGTACCTTTTCTCCTACCCAAATGGTGCCACCATGGCGTGGCACCTTTTTCCCCCATCCAAGTGTGTCCACCAGGGCAGTGACACCTTTACTACCCTACCAAGGGGGTCCCCATGGGGTTTTACACCTTTACCACCATACCAAGTGTGTGCCACCAGTGGCAGTGACACCTTTACTACCATACCAAGTGTGTGCCACCAGTGGCAGTGACTGACATGACAAGAATATTTATTTCCTTTACTTTGAATTATTTTTTATTTTATTATTGTAAAAGGACACAAGGCAAAAATAATGTGACATTTATTGTGGCAAATTTTGCCTCCCCGGAGTTTTTATCAAACCATTACAAACAATACGGGAAAAAGAGGGTTTTTATAAAGGGTCCGAGTGAGGTGCTTTTCTAAATGAGGTCCATTTCGGTTCACTGGGTTTTTAGTTAGAATAGTATGTATGGTTGTACAAAAAAGTATCAATATGGTAAAAATTATTTTGTAAAAGGTAAAAGGGAAAAAAGATATTACTGGGTAACATTAAAAAAAGGTTTTGGCAAAAAAATGAAAGAGGCCCGGTTTTTCAGTGTTCACTCTCTGAATTTTCTTTGTGTAGTATAAAGGGAGACTTTGTGGCGGGTTTTTAAATTTTTCAGAAGGATTCTTGCTAAGACTCGGAATGGGAAGCGCCGTTGTTTTGTTTTAATTGTTTTCGAAACGCGATCGGGGTTTGATTCGAGGCACTTTCGTCTGCGGAAAATTGTTTTTTTGATCAAAAATTGGGCGCTCTGAATTTCATGGGAGATTGGGGTGGAATTTGGGTTTTTGTACACGGGTGTTCAAGTTATCGTTCCTACATGCTAAATGTTTCATTGAGGCTTACGCATGTGGGGAACGAAAAACTTAACAACGCCTGGTAAACACCAAAAATTTCCACCAATCATTCATGAAATTCAGAGACCCCAATTAGTGATCAAAAAAACTAATTTTTCCGAGACGAAAGTGCCTGAAATCAGCACTATCGCTGTTTCAAATACAATTTAAACAAAAAAACGGCAGCTTCCCTTCTCCGAAGTCTTAGCAAGATCCTCCTAAAAAACCATTAAACCGCCATTCATTTCTTTGTTAAAACCCCAAAAGCACATTACAGAGAGTGAAACTGAAAAACCTGCCTTTTCCCAGCTATATTTGCCCAACCCTTTTTCTTTTCCCCCAATAAAACTTTTATATCCTTTATAGTACGAATTAATTGTTCTACCATTTTTTGTAATTACTTTTGTCACTACTACTACTACTACTCACTACAAACAAACCCTTTACTAAATATACTCAACTCTACTATACCATCCATTTAAAAACTAAATGGTCCCATAGTTTTGCACCCCTTGACCTTTAATACCCTCTTTTGTCCATTATTGTTTGTTCTTATAAAGCCCTGGAGAGGGAAAATTTTTTGCACAATAAATTACTTGTTGCATTGTGTTTTTATTTAAAAAATTCTAATTCTACCCTTTATTCAAATTTTTATTAGTAGAATTTGAATTAGTAAGAAAGGAGTATGGTAGTTTTATTGGGTTTAAAAATTTTAGTGTGTGGTAGTTTTTGGTAGTAGTGGTGTGGTGTAGTAGTAGTGGTGTAGTAGTGGTAGAGTAGAGTTTTAAAGTAGGGTAGTAGTAGTAGTGGTAGATATAGTAATAGTGTGGTATTGTTTTATTATTAATTAAAATATTTAATTATACTACTACTATTTTACACTAAACTGTTGCTCAACTTTTTTATTACAAATTATTATTATTATTTTATTTTTATTATTTTTATTATTATTATTTGCTTTCCACTAGGTTCCTTTTGGCGCCGTTAAGTGTTTTTTAATTTTAAGGAAATGGACCTGAACTTCCCTTCCTGGAATCGAACCTGATTGACCCCATTTCCCATGGCTGTAGACCCCCTGGTTTAGCACCCCTCGAAAATTTTTAATAATAATAAAAATGAAAATAAAAAAAAATAATGAGAAGTACTGAACTAGTAAAGCCCAAAAATGGAAATGGAGTAGTTTAAATTTGATCCAAGGAAGGGATCGTAGCCTAAATTTCCCCGGATCATGAAGCCCCCCCACAAAAATACCCCATGAAGGTTGTAAATTTTAAAGGGGAAAAAAAAAGATATAAATAATGGTTTTAAAATACGATTTATCAGGCAAAAGCATGATCTATCAGGGGGAACATTATGAAAACTTCAGGACAAAAATTTGATCTATCAGGACAACATTATGGTCTACAGGACAACAATGATCTATCAGGGCAACATTTGACCCATCAGGGCAAAAATTTTGATCTATCAGGACAACATTATGGTCTATCCCGGACAACATTATGATCTTCAGGACAACATTTGATCTATAGAACAACATTAAATCTTCAGGACAACATTTGATCTTAGACAACATTTAATCTATCGGGCGCCGCAGATTATCAGGACAACGTTATGATCTTCAGGACAACATAATGATTACAGGACAGCTTATGACTATCAGGACAGCAGCATGATCTATCAGGGCAGCATTTTAATTATCAGGACAACATTAGATCTATCAGGACAACAGCTGATTTATCAGGACAACATTTTTATCTATCCCGGAAGCCGATCATCAGGACAACATTATGACTATCAGGACAACATTATGATCTATCAGGACAACATTTTTAAACTATCAGGAAAAACAGCATGGTCTACAGGACAAAAGTTTATGATCTATCAGGACAACATTTTTGACCCACGGACAGCTTAGATCTATCAGGACGCAGATGATTATCAGGGCAACATTTTGATCACAGGGCGTTTTTGACTATCGGGGCAACAGCATGGGCTATCAGGACAGCATTAAAAATCTAAACGGGCAAAATCATGATCTATAGAAAACCCCATAATCTTTCAGGCCAACATTATGATCTTCAGGGGCAAAATTTAACTACAGGGCAGCAGCCCATGATTATCAGGACAACGCATGATCTATCAGGACATTTAATTACAAGACAGCAGCATGATCTTTTGGACAGCAGCATGATTTCGGGACAGCAGCATGATCTATCAGGACAACAGCATGACTATCGGGACAACGCCCGATCTATCGGATAACATTAGGATCTATCGGAAAGGCGCATGATTTAGGACAACATTATTTATCAGGGGAAAAAATTAAGATCATCCGGACAACATTTTGATTTATCAGGACAACATTATGAATTATCAGGACAACATTATGATTTATCAGGACAACAGCATGATCTATCAGGACAACAGCATGATCTATCA